CCCCCCCAAAAAAAATAAAAAAAAATTGGTGTCTTGTGAAGCAGGTTAGTACCTCTAATTCCTTTGAGGGGATATGCAGTATGCATTGCCTTCCTCTGGTGTTGTTTGGTGTTATTAATTCGTGACCTTTGCTAGTGTTGGTCCCTCTTTCTTCCCATCAATTATTAAATTATTGATTGTAAATTCAGGTGATATACGTGATTGTTGTGTTCAGTGACCCCCAACTCCACTCTACTTGGTGTCCCCCCCTTCCTCCCCCCTCTCCTCCCCTTACCCTGTTACCCCTGTTTCCCCTTCCTAGGGGGTTCTTATAGTGAGACCTAGGTAGGTAGGGTTTTTAAGTAGCGGTCCAGTCTGTTTGTAATCGCCATCTCAAAGATCTCCCCCTCGGACTCCAGCTTGCCCCTTGCGGCCGGGGGACCCCCTGTTTCCTCCCCGGACCCCCGTGGATACACTGGGGAAGCAGGGGAGTCAGTGGCACTAGTAACGCCGCTGCTCGGTTCCGACCTCTCCCGACGGCACGGCTCTGTAGCGTCTCCTCCCCCTGACACGAAGGATGGGGACGTGTTTCCGCTTGACCCCGTGTCAGCGTCAGGTGACCCACGGGGGAGCGTTCCGTTCGCTCTCTGGAAAAAAGCCCCGATGTCTACCGCCAGGTCTGCGGGCTCCAACAGCAGCGGCGTCTTCTTCTTTCTTTTTCCGCTCCTCCCCATGTTGTCGGCCAGAGCGGGGTTCACAGGGGTCGATGCAGTAAGTCTACCGTAGTCTCAGTAATCTCTATCGTCTCAGGTCTCTTTGCTCTTTGCTGCAATCTTCTCTCTCTCTCAAACCATGCTTGATGAGGTGAGGTGTGGGAGCCACAGGTGCACACACCTTACTCCGCCATTGTCTCTAAGCCACTCCCCCAAGATATTTTTTTTTTCAATGCCCATACTGGCCAACTGACCACCTGAAAGCCCTTGCTGGCCACCAAAAAGCCCGCACTGGCCACCTGAGAGCCTGCAATGGCCACCTGAGAGCAGAAAAACAAGCTCAGGGCTCCCACTGATTCTGCAATATGTTGACTAGTATAATAAGTTAATTATATATATTACAGTGTAATAATGATAGAAATAAAGTGCACAATAAATGCACTTGAAACATCCCAAAACCATCTCCCCCTCTCTCCCTTCACACCCCTCCCTCCCCCCTCGCTTTGTGGAAAAAATGTGTCAGCTAAACTGGTTCCTGATTCCAAAAAGGTTGTGGACCACTGCTATAGCCAGTGAAAAAAGATTTCACTGGCTGGTAATGATGAAGGACCCCACACTTATGTAGAAGGATGATCAACAGCACTCGAAAAGATTGTAATCAAATCCTTGTGTTGATTTATTATAAAAGAGGGTCACATATATCGATATAGCCAATGTTTCAGGGCCACGCAGGGTCCCTTCATCAGGGCGACATAGTGACTTAACTTCCTGGTTTGCTTCATTGTAATCAACAAGGAAATATACACTGAGTGGCCAGATTATTATGACCACCTGACGTTTGTAGGCATATTAGCTATAATTAGCTATAATTTTGCGCTGAAGTTGCTAGGGGGCCAGACCATTATAAATAGGGAAGCAGGTTGTTTACCACGACAGTAGAAGTGATTTTTTTCTGAAGTTATGGGTAAACAAAGCGATTTAACAGCCTTTGAACGTGGGATGATTTTTGGCGCTCGGAGCCATGGAGCGCGTATCAGCAAAACAGCAGAATTCATTAAATGTTCAAGAGCAGCTGTTGTTAAAGTGTTTAAAGACTGGACTGTCAGCCGAAATCTGGGTCTGAACGTGCAAATTGTGTCCGTCAGCGACTAGTCAATGTTAGGGCAGAACGGAAAGTGACAAGACTGGTACAAGACAACAGAAGGGCAACAGTGCAGTGTCAGATTCCTCGCATCACCTTTCAACATCTCGTGGAGTCACGAGGCAGCCCAACAAAGTCATCTCGTGGAGTCATCTTGTGGCCCAACGAAGTACTGATGGGGTGGTCATAATAATCTGGCCACTCAGTGTATATTGCCAGATTACCAATTTCTTCACTAAAAAAAGTCTTGCATTTATTAGTGCATTGTTGCATAAACCACGTCAAGGCACTAATAAACGATGTAACTTTTAATGAAAAAATTGGCTGCTTTAGCACTCAACAAACATGGTCAGTTCTGGTCCGGTGTCTGATAGAGATATATCAATAATCTGCATTGAAACCATGAACAACTTGCTCTACTGGTGCAGACCCTGATGTATGTAAAGATAGTAATTCCATTGAGGTAAAAGTCACAGATCAGCCAGTTTAAGGGTAGGTCATGCTGTCTCGAAAAGACTATTAGCTGGGTCACCTTATGTAGGAAACAGGCCATGGCCAAAATATCACCAAATTAAAGTGTTTGAAATATATGAGTGCCACAGCTATTTTGCAAGCCTAGCACATCTTTTTTTGTTTGTTTGCAAGGATACAAAATTAAAGTATATCCATTGCATTTGTGGAGCTTATTAGCCTATTAGATCAGCAAACCAAATGAGCCCTCCTATGAATACTTTATTAGAAATTCATATTAGCAGTTCACTGTGGTCTAGTGTATAATTAAGCCTTTCTCTCTCCACTACAAGCTATGATGAAGGAGGCCAATGCGCCCCTATTACTGTAACTTTTAATTGTGCCAAATAAAGATTTACTGGGCTTACAAAATAGTTATAGCACTCTTTTGCTTCAAACACTAATATACTGACACTCTGAGGATTCCTCTGAGCACAAATGTTGCCTACAAAAGATAGAGATTGACCATATATACTGTGATAGAGAAAAACTGCATTCATGGTCTGTGGAAGAAGATACCCTGACTTGAAATCAGTGTCCGAGTCAAACTGTTATCCAAGATCTTCTTTCGACCAGGGCTCAATGCATACCCCTTGGTAGAAGATTTATCGCATTTTCATGTGATTATTTTAATAAATAGCTCATTCAGCTAGAATGAGCAATTGGAGGGAACTTATGGTTTCCCGTATACTTCTCAGCATTACAGACCAAACACATGAGGCAGTTCTTGATGAATGGGCCATTGAATAAATTGTGAAAAATAGTGGGAGAAGCAATCATGTAATTTTAATAGTGGCCTGCTTGCCAATACTTATGGCACTACCATCATTTTGATTTTGTAGTGGAAAAAGTGGGGTAACAACTATAGACACAGCAAAGATTTATTTAAAAGGCAGATCGACAGTTTTTAAAACACTAAAGACAATATATTTTTTAGTAGATTTCAAATATCAAGCAGTTTAATTTGTGAAATGTCATTAAATATTTCTTAAACCACACTGTATATATAAACAATGGTATGCAATAGGCTCAGTGCTATGAAAAGCAAGATCCTAAGGCAGCTCTTCTTAGCAGGAAGCACAAACCGCACAAATAATGCGCATATACATGCTTGCTGTCCCATTTACATGTGTAAAGGGAGATAGAATGAAAACATAAATGAAATTATAACTGTTACCTATTTTTTTTAGTAAGATGGGTCTGAATCAGGGTAAGAAAAAAGGTACAAAAAGTAATAACTGAGATAATACTGCTTATTGTTATTATTATTATTATAATTATTATTATTAATATCACTAATAAAAATATACATAAGTCATTCAGTAAACAAAAAAAAAAACCTGCTAAAATGGCCTGCCTTCTCATGTGTAGCCCTTCTACACTGGTGATGTGTAGAATCCCACTTACATTGGCTGTCAGTATAAATGCTCCATTAAATTGATGTAAGTGGGAGAAGGGCCCCATTTACTGGTTTTCAGTGGATACTTACCTTGGCACTCAGATGAGTGATGGTGTGATGATGTTGCTTCTTTCTAGTCATGTCAACAGTGGCAGCGGAACTTTGCGGGCACCTTGGTTGGGCAGAGATCAATTTGCCCGTGCAGTAAGCCGAGAAATTAAGCAGGGTACTTTTATGCTCTTAAAGTACCCGTGTCAGTGTCCAAACACCAGATCCCAGAGATCTAGAGTCTAGACTCCTGCTGGGGCTGGCTCTGACTTTTTCATAGTCAGGCTCCAATAATTTTACTAGCATCTAGCATCTGCATTTCCTAAAAGTTGACAGACATTCACAGATATTAAATCATTCCATGAAGTGTATGTTTACATGCCATTTAAAATATATATATATATATTTTAAATGTATTCTTTTACTATGTGTCATAATGGTATCTAATACAATGTTACATACTCGTGAAGCTACGTAGCTTTTTATTACATCTGCTAGCATTTGTATTATAGCTTGTGCTCTATTTTACAGGCGCATGTTCCCATTCCTCAGCTACCGTTTGTTAGGTCTGGATCCTTTGGCTCAGTACACGTTACATGTGGAAGTGGCTCTGGCAGATCAAAATCACTGGAGATTCCAAGGAGGAAAATGGATCCAATGTGGCAAGGCTGAGGGCAACATGCCAGGTATGAAAAACAAAACAACTTTAAAGCAAACCTGTTGTGAGAAAGTATGGAGGCTGCCATACTGACTAACCCCTGAAAACGCAATATGCCCTCCTGCCATGCTGAATCAGCGGCTTTAGTATTTTTGAAGTAAAGAGTCGAAGACACCATGATACAGTATGCATGCTTGTTCTGGGAAAGTGAAAATTTAACGTGAAAATTTAGCTTTGGATTTGAATGTTTGGTAAATAAGTCAGATTATAAGAGGGCCCAGTGGCTCTGGTAAGGCTGTTCTCCACACAACAGGATCCCAAAAAAGGGAACCCAGAGTTGAGGATCCATGTGTACATAGTCCAATGACACATCAAACAAAAGGTCCAAAATCTTTAAAAGGAGTTGTAAAGTCCCAGCATAGACTCTCCTATAATAACATCAGCAATGTAATAGGAACACATACTAGAGTTGTTTTTGATAATACAATCAACACTTACTTGAAAAAATTCCTTTTATGTAGTGAGTGCTGCCTTTTGTCTGCCCATCACTTTCAACAACTGGATTCCCAGTGTGCTTTGCATGTCTCTACCTCCTGCTTGATGTGATGCAAACTTGATTTTTGAAGACTACATAGACCATCGTGCATTGCTTCCAACAAGCAATGATGATGTTACATTGTGGGAACGTCAGACGTTAAGTTGTTGAGTTGTAGTTCAGATAGCAGGTGCTGACACAATGATTCCTGGCATCTTGTAACTTCTAACTAAGAATTATTTCTGCCGATTATGCCATGTCTTTGTCCTACCATTTACAACACCAGAGCCACGAGGAAGGGGAATTTTTTGAGCCCCCAAAATGCGTTCGATACTTTGCGTTATCCTGGTATGACTAATGTTAAATTAATTTTGACTCTTGGGCCTTTTGTTTAGGGCTATTATTTAACCTTGTTCTGTGTTAGCAACTCAGAAAGTGTTAAAATCAGAGAAAAACAGGCAATTAGAATTTTTTTTACAAAGATGTCACCATTGGCAGCTTCCATACTTCTCTCATTTATGTTACATCTGTTAATTTAGATCAAAACAATCATACCTCAAAATGATCATCTGTGATTGCAACCTGTACATCCTCTGTTCAGTCTATGCAGTGCAATCTTTAAATTGTTGCCTACATAGCAATAATGGGGAGCAATGGATTGTTTCTATTGATCTCTACAAGGATTTGAGAAAATTGCCCTTCTGTCATGTATATGTGTAACGATCCGACGGGTTATGACGGTGGATCTCAGCTGCGGAGATTAATTATATACCAGGGTTAGATTAGACTCAGCCCGAGGGTTCACGGTTACACTCTGTATGGTTGGAGTGATGGTGGAACCCTCTATAACATCATATGCCAATCTTTGTATAAGTGCAGGTAATCAGAACTCTGAAGTATATTTATACAGAAGGATATGGTTCGGGTCCATCAAGTTAGGTTTAGTAGTTATGTTACACAACTTATATGAACTAGATTCCCTTTTATGCAATGGTAATGATCTGAATAGGAGCTGCCTTGTTGCAGTACCTCTACCTCTCCACATACAGTTACTCAACCTAGGATGGCAGTAGTGTGCACAATCACTTTGAAGTGCTGTATTACACAGGAAGACAGTTATAATCAGGCAGGTTTTACTTGCGATTAGGAGGGTTTACTTCCACTGGATATAACCAGATCAGAGGCGCAACAAGAGTCCAGGAATGAAGGGGTAGATCCCACAGGACCGTTTGTCCAGAATATGCAAGGTACTTCCGACTTGTTCCACGAGGCTGTTTCTTAGGAGGAAGGTCCTTGCAGTGGTGGTTCGCTGGCGAGTTGCAATGGCTCGGCGTTAGCAATACTAGAACGCCGAGGCATTGCAACTCGTTTCCTTATAAGGGGATCGGTCTATTGAGGTGGGCGGAGTCACGAGCGGCGGCCGCGTCTCCTAGTGACGTCATGCCGCTGTATCGAGAGGCCGGCCCGCGGCCCGAAATGTCTGATACGAGAGGTACCCTTACAATATGGCAGCATCTGCACTGAGGAGTAAGGGCACTCCAAGCAAATAAATGTCTCTAGTATCTGAGTACATGTAAATTCTGTTCTGCAAATGTTGCATGACTACATTGTAGATGTAGACACAGAAACCATAATCCCCAAATGGTAATTTATTAAAACAAGCTTCTAACTGCATATATGAGTATGTATAGTATGTAAAGTCAATGTACATGTTTTTTGCTGTGTGGCCTACCGTAACAGTATCCATACATACCGTAACAGTGTTCCATAACAGTAACAGCCAACAGTATTTTTCAGAGGAATTAAGGAAATAAACATTTCTGTCTGTTGGAAGATATCACTTTTGAGAATATTACCATTGTTTACATATTTTCTATTCTGATAAGCTATTGAAACTACATAATGATCTGATCCCTAATTGTTATAAAAAATTATTGATATTTATTATTTCTATTATACTTCTAGGTTTGTTTTGTGCTTTCCAGCCCTGTATTTATAATAAACATTTTCTAAGATGGCTGCCATTGCTTCAGTACTTTGAGTCCCTAACCCAGAGGAAGTATACTGTACATATAAAAACTTCAGACTTTACTCTGTCCATTCCCGATCTCCGAACTTGTATTTGCAGAATGAGAAGTCAGCATTGGCAGCCTCCATTCTCTCAAGATAGGTTGGAGACGTTGGGTAGTTATTTTTAGGTTCAGTAGGTTAAAAAGGTAGCAAAATGAAAAGGAAAGGCTGCAGCTTTCTGTTCTGGCTGTAAGTCCAGAGTTGTTCAAAAACATTATTGTAATTAAAAAAAAAGTATGTTCAGATACTAACTATTTGAGGGAATAGCAAACACAACTTTAAAGAACTAAGGGCAGATAAAAAATTAACCCTTGCAGTGAGGCTACCCCCCAAAAAAGTGCTTGCTTTATAGTATAGGGTCTAAGATAAAAGAAATATACTTACCCGATGGTCCCGTTTGGCTGCTAGACTTGTCCCCCCAACCTCTTCTTCCCTGGGCTCCGGCGGGCAGTCTAAGCCCTGCTGGCATCTTCATGTGTAATACAAGTCCATTGACTTATATTATATATGAGAACACCGAAGTACATTTCACCGCTGGAGGGGGAGAGAGCTGAGCCGGACCACAGGACCGAGGATTGGGTAAATATAACTTTTTTTTATCTAAACCTAAACCAAAACGAGCACTTAACTCTTGCAGTGTGGGGGTAACCCTATTGCAAGGGTTAATTTTTTAACTGCTCAGAGTTATCCTTTAGAGCTAAACTCCAAGTATAACTTTTAATACATACTTACATTGGTCCAGCCTGGCTCAATGTAAGTATGCATATGCCAAAACTGAGCAGATGCAGCTACTACAGTGCTTTACAGCGATCTCCTGGATCACGTAATGGTGCTGAGCTGAGCTCACCTCTCCTCCTTCCTCCACTCTGGCTGTAGAATGTCCCTCAGTGCCCTCATGTCTAATGCAGGGCTATGGGTCGTGCAATAGACCTGATGATATCAGCAGGCCTCTATCTGCCAGAGTGATGGGGAGAAGAGGTTGCAGACGCTGGTCTTGGGAGTACAGCAAAAATATCTGTTGATCTTGCCAGAAATCCAGTAAACATGTAGCTGCCTTTGCAGCAAACTGACATCTCAAGCAACGTTATCAGCTATTATCAAGTCTCTTTTGTGAACTGCTGAATACCTCCCCTCTATTAGGAAGATGAGGAGAGGGGAAGTTGTTTGCAGTAAAGGAAGTGTGTTGCTGGAAGGATCAGCAGGTACAAATTATGGGGGGAAAAATCCTGAAAACAAATGCAGCCACCACATCGTATGACTAGTATGTTGCAATAAATCCAGTTTTAGTTTAGCTACTTTGTAAGTACACATGGCTGGAACTGCATAAGATTGTGTTGATAACAGGAAACATTATTTATATTAGGTTTGATAAAACTTCAATTTTTTTCTATCTAGGGAACCGAATTTACCAGCATCCTGATTCTCCAAACACAGGTGCTCACTGGATGCGGCAAGAGGTGGTATTCAGCAAACTCAAACTGACCAACAACAAAGGAGCCTCTAGTAATACGACACAGGTACACTTGTGTACAGGCGTTACATGATGATGAGTAAAAAAAAGCCATGCCACAGGGCACAGATTATCCTAAACATTGTGTATCACAGGGAAGTGATGGCTCCAATTAAGGGGTCAGGCCATGTAAAAGTGACATTTAAAATATTATTATTATTATAATACGGGACTTATATGGCACCAGTTTGCTCAGCGCTTTACAATATAAAGGGAGACAGTACAGGTAGAATACAATTCAAGACAAGATGGTTAGGAGAGACCTGCTTGTGAGAGCTTACAATCTAAAAGGGAGTGGCAAGTGTTACAAAAGGTGGTAGCTGTGTGGGGTTAGTTGTATGAAAAAGTAAAAGGTTCACTTATTAGGCAGAGATGGGATAGGCTTCCCTGAAGAGATGCCTAAAGGCTGACAGAGAAGGTGATTGCCCTGCGGTAGGGAGTTTCAAAGGATGGGAGATAGTCTAGAGAAGTCCTGGAGGTGAGCATGGGAGGAGTTGATGAAGGAGCAAGGGAGTAGGAGGTCTTGGGAGAAGTGGAGGGGATGGTTAGGGTGATACTTTGATATGAAGTTGGAGATATAGCCGGGGGGGCAGAGTTTCAAATTGCTTTGTAAGTGGCTGTTAATATTTTTTATTTTATCCTTTGGGCAATCAGAAGCAGAGAGGGGATGCAGATACTGAGCAGTTGTGAGGTGGATGAGTCTTGCAGCAGCATTCATGACAGACTGAAGGCAGGATAGCATGTGTAGAGGTAGGCCAATGGGGAGGAAGTTGCAATAGTTGAGACAAGAGTGATGAGGAACTTTGTGGAATCATTTGTTAGAAGGGGGCATATTTGGAGATGTTATGGAGGTAAAGGCAGCAAGATTTGTAAAATATAGGTGGAATTTTTGGTTTCCTACAGGCTTCTTATATCTTTTGTTAGTGATATCTACCCACCATAGTATATGCCTCTGGCTTGGAGTTTTGGCTGTTCCCACACAATTTGGGGTGTACCCACTCTTGTTATATTTTCATTATTATAAAATCAAAGAAAAATCCAACAAATGGCTGTGACAGGTGTACATACTTAACAAAAAAATCAATCATGAAGACCTTAACAACAGCATTCCTGATAAATTCCTAGATGGATTTTCCAGCCAGAGACCTTTTTCTCTGTCTGGTTTTATATGATATCTGTGTTGTCACTGAGATTTCCCCTCCTTCGCTATTCTGACGCTTGTCATCTGGACAAGAGGTGAGGGGAATCTTAGGGTCTCAGGTGGGCTGGTCGGGGGGGCCCTTTCCTTGCAGCTCCTTACATGCCGCAGCGGGCTTTTTACAGCCCCGGCGTCCTCCACCTCCTCCCCTGTCAGTGCCCGCCCGGCGGTAGTTCCGTCGTCCCGTTGTCTGCAGGGCAATGTGGAGTGCAGCCTCGGCGCGGGAGTTGCCTCTGCTCTGTGTGTCGGCTCTATATCTCCCCTCCTGCTCTCGCTGCTGGGCTGGAGACGGAGCCGTGTCTCAGTGAAGTGCCGGCCGGGCGGAGTGCTCTGAACCCGCAGTCAGATGCGCATTTCCCCGTACCACCCGCCCCCGGCTGACCTCTCTTGTACATTAGGAATGTTAGGCGGCTGCAGCCGCCTAACTTGCCTAATTAAAGAGCCACCTCTGGGGCCCCTGTCCTGGGCCCCCTCTAAGTGGCGGAAACTCCAGGGCCGGTCGCAGCTGCGACCTTTGCGACCCTGGTAGTTCTGCCACTGTCTCCAGTATATCATATAAAATGTTTTGACAGGAGTTGGGCCTTATTGGAGCACTCTGGGCCACTTTCGGTAAAGGTTGTGCTAAGCTCATGTTTACCAGCATATGTTTTAAAACAGAGGATTGGAGGACTATTATTTCCCCACCCCTCCACTATTTAAAAATGAAACTGGAGAAAAGACCTGTAGGCGGCTGTTCCCCCTGCTGATCGCTGTGTAGGTACATACAGTGCAACACTCTGTACACAATGATTGCTGTGATGACCAATCACAGTGATCACATGCTAGTATGTAGATTGTTGATCATTTCCATTTCTTACAACAGATGAAGGCCAGGAATCTGAAATAATTAATGAATCAGTCAATCAAAAGGTCAGCAGAAGCAGCTGCTGATCCATTCATTCATTTCCACTGACTGACTAAGGCCTTGTTCACACCAAGCGCGTTCCAGGAGCAGAGCAGTTACAGAGCGGAGCAAAACTGCGTCCAATGTATTCCAATTGTATTTTTAGCCCCAGTTCACATTGCAGCGTTCCGTTCCAGAGCAGGTAAAAAAACTGCAGCAGGCCCTATTTTACCTGCTCTGGAATGCTCTGGAACGCATGCAAATGCATCAAAAGCGCATGCAAACGCCCTGGAACGCACTCAAAGACCATTTTAAACTAAAAAAAAATTATTAATTTTTTTACCAAAAACGGCCCGGAACGCATCAAAAACCTAGCAAAAAACGCTGCACAACCCACTGCGTGTGTAGAAACTCATGCAGATCTGCTCTGCATTTGGTGTGAACAAGGCCTGAGGCTTTTTTTTTAACCCACCCTCCACTCCTACACATCTGATCTCAAGCTTGTATCTGTAGTGTGATCTCTATATTAACCCCTCACCTCCTCTATCCTGCACATCTCCACATTAACCCCTTCATCTCCATTCTTCTGCTGTATGTGACCAATTCATTAACCCCTTCACCTTTTTTAGATCACTCCAGAAAGGGGTACTTTTGGGGGTTTTGTACTGTCCTGGCATTTTAATTTTAACAGAAAGTAAAGGGAACAGTTTTTCTTTTGACATGTTTGGTTTTTTTCCCCTGTTTATAGTAACAAAAGAAAAATGCAGCAGTTATTAAATACCACCAAATGAAAGTTCTATCTGTCTGAAAAAAAAGTGATATAAAATCACTTTAGGTTAAGTGTTGCATGACCAAGGAATTGTCAGTGAAACCATCACTGCAGTAAAAACCGAAAATGGCCTGGTAATGAAGGAGTATGACAGGCTGGTACTCAAGTGGTTAAAGTTTATTGGTTTAGCTGCCAAATGATTTGCAGTTCTGTAAAAGCAATGGCATAATGTTCACAGGCGACCACAATGCACAAGGTGATCTAGCACCCAAGACAAAATCAAATGAAAGTGCACCTCTCACCTTTCATCTTCCCTTGAGCACATTTGCATGTATAGTGGCCACAGCGTGTGCAGAAATGAGAGCTGCTGTCTGCCGGCCCTCAAGTTGCCACCTTTTAGTCCACAGCAAACCAAACAGGATGGGAGGCGTGTGGCAAAATTGTTAGACTAGTCTGATTCAGTCATAATGAACACACTGAAAAAAGAGTAAAATCAGTGATACAAAATTAACACTGCAGTAACCCAATATCCATATCCCGGCCATTCCCCCCATTCAAAAGTACAATTAATCCATACCCCTGGTATATCTCACACAACTCTATCATATAGAGTACGTATGCTCACCGAATTACACATCCATGCGGGTGTCCTTGCTGGTGATCCATCCTGTCTGTGTATGAGTACGGACACCCGCACCCGCATGGACGTGCAGTTTAAGGTGGGAGTACGGCCGCGTACTCCGACAGAGGAGAACATGCTGCTGCGTACAAATCACACGCAGCACCTGTCCTTCCCAGGAGTGGCCCGATACGGCTGTGCACGCAGCACGGATCTGTACGGGCCGGCTGTTAGTCGTGTGAATGAGGGCTTACTGTGCAATTGACAGCGAATGCCCGTCTAGTGGTACAGCTCTGATGTCGTTTGCCACAATGGCTCCTATCTCAAGCTCAGTGTATTGACTATACAGCACGGATTCCTCTGGACTATAATGATCTACAACCATTTGAATGTTAATTCTCCTCAGCTGGCTCTCCCCACCATGCGGTATCATAAATTAAACAAAGCACACACCATAGTGCACAGGAATATAAACACATACAAACATTATTAACCCCTTCAGATATTTCCAGACACAGCTTCAGAAATGTTTTTCACTTCTGGGGACCAGAGCAATTTTGCCATTTTTGCTGTTTGTTAAACCGTAATTTTGTTAAACCGTCATTTCCATCTTCCTCATTCATTGCACCTACACATATTATATACCGTTTTTTAAAGGACAAAATGGGCTTTAATTTGACGCCACATATTCATATTTTTTAATACAAAAAAATGCAAACAATAAATAAATTGTTCTTTACAGCTTTGGCAACAATAAAGTGTACATAATTAGTGTAGCTAAAGTAATTCATAATACATTCTTTTATTTGTCCTGATTTATAGGGTATATCATATGTCTGGGTTTTCAGTTTATTTTGGGTGTTATAGGTCACAAAATACAAGGAGTAAAATACAGTTTTAGTGTGGAACAAGTTTAGAATGTGGTATGTTTTTCTCCTATCTTTAATAGCCTCCTCGGCACTATATTTTCTTACAATATTTGTGATTAAACATTCTTTTAGATTTTTTGGACTTTTTAAAACTTGTTTCTTTTCTATAATTTTTTAAAATTGTAAAAACTTTATTTTTTATGTTTTAATTGCATTTTTATTTTTTTTTTAAACTAGGGAACACTAAGGGGTTATTTTTGTATTTACAGGGGCTTTGATACTTAGTATCTCTGATTAGAATACATTATTCTCCTCAGAGATACTTTGTATCACTTTTGTAACACACATTCGGCTAGCAGGTCCCGGCCCTAGAAAGGTTGAGAACCACTGCACTAAGTCACCACGTTCTATACACAGTGTACAGGATGTGAGGACGCTGAGGGATATACCATCGCTACAGCCGGCCGGCTCGGGTGAGTATATCTTTGTTATTTTTGAACCTAGACGCAAATGAGCACTTAACCCTTGCAGTGCGACGGTAGCCCCATTTCAAGGTTTACTAAAAATTTTACCAGGAGTTCGTCATTTAGAGACCTCTGCTGTTCAGGAGGACTGAGAAGATTGAGGATGACATGCTTTTGTTTGAGGTACCATGCCCAACAGTGTATT